CGGTTCAGCTGCCTCGGTTAATGTGCAAATGTCCCCGGAAACCGCATGTGAATTAGGCTCAGTCTAGAGAACATCTTAAAGTGAATTGGTTAAAAGTATTTTCGTTGAGGTGCGAGGCAAGGGCAGAGCATTGAGACCTGCAGGTTCATTAGGAGCCAAAGCGAGGCTTGTAAGGAAAAGAGGGCCTGGGGAGGTAGTGCAGGCCCTGAGGGTCTTGGTGGGAAGGAGAGGCGTGCCTGAGCCTTCAGTCTGTTTGGTGGCTGCGGGCATTGAAAAATCAGGATTTCCCACAAGCATTCAGCTGCCAGTTTCCCTTAAAACACGCGGTCTCAGTCCGCTGGCTTGGAAACCAGCACCCCTTTAGACAGAGCACCCTTTCCGATCTGCCAGGTGCCACCTGGGCTCAGACCTGTCCCTGGCCTGCTAGCCCTTGGGCCGCAGGGACATTGCCCGCACCGGTAGATCAGGGATGCTGATGGGCCTACGCACGGGGTCCGCGGTGACTCCAGGCGTTGGCGCGTGTGAATGGGAACAGCGCCGGGGGCTCTGCCCCAGCCCTTGAGCTGTGGTTACTGTTGCCAGCGCTGGCACTGCCCTGTCACATGCCTCTGGGCATTTGGGTTTGCACCCCCCACGATTGGGATTTTTAAAGTGGGGAGTTTTGGAGATAAGTTTTGGAGATAAGAGCCCTTTGAGATCTTGACCTTCCACCTCCTGGGAGCATGGTTTGAAGCAAGTCACTTAGACCTGGGAGGTGGGGTAGGGGGTCTTTATCTCTAAAAAGGAAACAATAGTATTCATTGAACAGAGTTTGTGAGAGTGTTAAAGAACCTAACCTAACAGGAAGCTCCTTGAGTGGTGTTGCACACAGTAGGTGCTTAGTGCATGCTCAGGGCCTGCCCCTCACTCTGCCGGCCTGCACAGCGGGGCTGAGGCGGCCTTGGGGTAAGTGTCCAGGCCTCAGCTTCAGCTCCAGTTAGCAGCTTCCTGGGAGGGCAGATTTCTGTTAATTCAGGACCCAGAACCTTCAGGGTTCACTGGGGCGACTTTCCAACCACGAGGCTGGTGGCTGAGTTGAGTGGTCAGAGTCCCTTTTCTCAAGGCTGAGCCTCCAAAGAAGGGGCGCTGGTCAGGGAACAGCCGAAGGCTTCCGTTCAGTGCCCAGGCGTCCGTTTGGGAGGCCCTCGGGGACGGGCGCTGTCTGCACCAGCCATGGGGACCGCAGCGCCTCGCTGAGTGCCGCTGTGGCCGCTGTGGCCGCTTGGCAGCTCCCCGTACATGAACATTAAGCCAGGCTCTTGAATGCAGTCCCAACCCCAGTGAAAATGCACTTCCTATATCCATCCTGACAGACCCTAGTTTCTACCAAAGCGAAACATCAGCACATCTGCTCAGACTGCCACACCGCTTTGAACAGCGTCCAGCGTGGAGGCAGGAGGCGCTGCGGGCAGAGCCGCGGGCCGGGGGGCCGGGCACATGTGCTCGGCCGCTGCTGCTGCTTCACTGTGCGGCCTGGGACGAATGGCTCCTTTACTGGACCCAGCCTCTTTGTCTGGAAGTGACGATAAGAGTTGCTAAGGCCTCCGAGTGTTGTGGAGACAGAGGTGTAACGTGCGCGGGAAGCCGTGGGCATGAGCCTGCCCCGTGCACGGTGCCCTCCTGATAGTGGTGGTGGTGGTTCTGTGGCCACGGTTCATAGCCTTCCCGCCCTCCATCCTGACCCTACACAGATCTCAAGGCTCAGCTCAGTTTGCTCGCCCTCCATAGGCCCTCCCTGACCAAGCCACAGATACCTTGGGAACCCGCCAGTAAAGAGCTCTCCCATTCCTCTTAAAAGCCCACGGTTTATGGTGAGAGGCGGGGTCAGTCTCGGCTCTGCCCCTTACGCTCTGCGAGTCCTGGCTAGTTGCTTGACCTCTGTGAGTGCCGCCTGCCTGTCATTCGATGGAGAAAATAAATGCCCAGTGCCTGGAGCTATTGTCAGAACCACGTGGGGTGGTGTGTGTAAGTGAAGACGTGGCTTAGAACGCTGCGTGCCCAGTTATTCTCCCCTGGAAGGTGGAGCACATGTGGAAAGTTTGTGCGTGTGCACGGGGTGGGAGGGTGGGTGGTGGGGGGGGAGAAGGTGGCCGAGATAAGTTATCTTGAAAGCAGGAATCAGCTGAGCGGAATGGCCAACAGAGTAGGTGTGACTGGCTGGGCCCCTCCCTTCCCCGCAATCAGCAAATCCTGGGCAACAATCTAAGAGCTCTGACGCCATGGGCTCCTGTGTCTGGTCAACGCTGGGAGCTTTTGGACCTGTATGTCCCAATCACTTTTGTTTCGTCTCTTTTTTTAAAAGAATCCTCACCTGAGGATATTTTTTTTCCATTGATTTTTAGAGAGAGTGAAAGAGAGGGAGGAGATAAGGCAGGAGGGAGGGAGGGAGAGATTGATGTGAGAGAGACACATCGACGGGTTGCCTCCTGCACCCACCCCGACTGGGGCTGGGATCAAACCCGTAACCGAGGTACATGCCCTTGACTGGGAATCGAACCCATGACCCTTCAGTCCGAGGGCGATGCTCTAACCACGGAGCCGCCGGCCAGGGCTGTGTGTGGATGCCCTCTTGTCGGTACTTGTTAATAATCACCACTCCTCCTGTCCACCCTGTGCCTTCGCTCATGTGCCGATGGAGACAGTTCCAAGCTCTGATTTGCTCGCAAGAGAAAGTCTGTCTGGTGTAGCCTCGGAGCAGCTATTCATCTGGTCTCTTGCGCGGCCCTGAGGCCCGAAGATGGAGGGTTTGATAAGTAATTTCACAGGAGGCCCCTGCGGAGTCTGGGGGAGTGTGAGGCGAGGGAAAGGAGCCGGGCTGGCTTTGACTGTTTAATGAGCTTTCGGGAAGTAATTACTTGAAACTTGGGCCCATCTGACTAGTATTTCCTTCTGCTGTCAGGGAGGCTTACTGAGAAAGCCGACATTGTCTGGCTGTGGCCGTGGCCAGGGCTATCCTCCGGCTTTCTCGTGGCGGGAGGAGGGTGGGAAGAGACCGGAGCTGCTCTCATCAGTGCAGCAGTGGTTGCATAAATCTTATTCTTGAACCCAGATTCATCGTGGTGACCTTTCTAACTTGAAGTCCGGGTCTCGGTTAACCACAGGGATCTCGCTCTGGACGAATAGCCTGCAGGCGCTATTGTCGGGTCCTCCTGGTACAAAGCCCTTGGCCAGGAAAGCATTGCTGGGATGAAAAATAAAAAATAAAAGTTACTTGGGCCCTGGCTGGTGTTCTTGGTGGTTAGAGCATCGGCCCACCGAGGGCACGTATCTCGATCCCCACCCTGGTCGGGCGAGTGAGGGAGTCAACCAATCGATGTGTCTCTCTCACATGGATGTTTCTCTCTCTCCCCCTCTCCTTTTATTCTTTCTAAAAAAAAAAAATCAATGGGAAAAATATCCTCTGGTGAAGATTAACAATAACAGCAACAAAAAATTACCTGGGGCTCTTTTTTTTATGTCCTTTTTCCCAATTACAGTGTCCATCGATATTACTGTTAGTTTTGGCTGGGACTCTGCAGGGTCCTTCCTTCCCTAATTCCTTAGCGGGGCGCTCTGTGTCTCAGGCGGCTCCCCAGAGGTCACTAACCCCTCCCTTTCTCTTTCTCTTGAAGCTGATGACCAAGCACCCGGGCAAACGTCTGGGCTGCGGGCCCGAAGGCGAGCGGGACATCAAAGAGCACGCGTTCTTCCGGTATATTGACTGGGAGAAACTGGAACGCAAAGAGATTCAGCCCCCGTATAAGCCAAAAGCCGTAAGTAGGCGTTCCCTCTGGCCATTGGCCACGTGTACACCCCATGCTCTTTCCCCGCCTGCCCGTGTACGCCCTCCCTGCTCTCAGAGGCGGGCGTGGACACGGGCATGTGGATCGCTCACATTTCTGTACAAAGTCTCAGGTACAGAAATGGCGATTTCCATCCACGCAGCCTGGCCTCTATAAATGTCGGGGGACGATGGCTACTGAGGCTGTTCTATCAGTTCGGTAACTGACCGGCCCTGCTGGCAGCGTTCGGGACGGGGCTTGGTGAGCGGGGTCAGCCCACTCACAGATGCGGTCAAGAACCCAGTTTCCCCCTCGTCCTTCCCCCTTGGTCGGTGTCGTCTCTTCATACTGCCACTGAAAAGGTCAGGCCGTGCGTCTCCACAGTATGTAAATTTAATTCTGAAGCTCTCACCGTCTCAGTCAGTAAACAAGAGGCTCCCCCGAAAGGGAAGGAGATGAGACAGCAGCGGACCCGCTCACAGACGCCGGGAGCTTGTGTAGCACAAGGATGAAGGCCCCTTCCCCACCTGCACACACAAGGGTGCTCCGTCCCCAAAGACCCGCGATGCTCGTCAGCCCCTGGGTTAGGCAGATCGGTGTTCCGTGGGGGATGTTCCTGGTTAGACTGAGCAGAGCGGAGACCCAGGGGCATTACTATGGGCTGTAAAACTGCCGACGAAGGCTGAAAGTGAACATAAACATTGTCATAGAAACCGGCAGGTGTCAGGGACTCGGGTGTGAAGGAAACGGCCATGGTAATGGTACACATTTTCATTAATTTTCTGGCCACTCACTATGTGCCAGGCACCGGATTAGGCACTTCACATGCAACATCTAAGTCAGTGGTTCTCAGTCTTCTGGCCCTTTAAATACAGTTCTTCATGTTGTGACCCAACCATAAAATTATTTTCGTTGTTACTTCATAACTGTAATGTTGCTACTGTTATGAATCATAATGTAAATATCTGATATGCAGGATGGTCTTAGACAACCCTTGTGAAAGGGTCGTTTGACCACCAAAGGGGTCGCGACCCACAGGTTGAGAACCGCTGACCTAAGTCCTCACAACGACCTGCTCCTCCTTGTAATGGCAGAGGAAATGGAGGCTGTGAGGTCACTCAGCCAGCGCACCACGGAGCCAGGCTTCACAGTCTGGCCCGGCAGAGGCACAGAATGCCCGGGGCCAAGGGCAGGTGGTTTGAGAAAGTCTCCCAATGACCTCTCATCGCCCCAGTCCTGCACGTCCCAAACGATTAGAAGACAGCAGCCCCGGTGAGTCCTGCTTCCATCTGGACATCTCCTGGTGCTCAGAGGCAGGCCCCTCCTGCCACACACACACACTCACACATACATGTACCTGCAAGCATGTCTCAGATGACATCACCTCCAAGTGCCTATTGTCCTCCAGGTAATCAACACTCATCTAAGATACACAGGACTGGGCTCAGTATTCCTAACAGTGTCTGACTCTCGGCGGATACGGCGGGCCCAACGCACTCTTGATGACTCTAGCGATGGTGGACTGGGATGCGTGAGCTCCCCTTGGCCCCTCCGCTCATCTTCTGTAACACAGGGAGGACCGTCTATGCATAAAGCGCTCAGTCTGCGCCTGCACAGGACAGTTGATAATGAGTTTCAGGGTCTCAGGCGTAGCATCTCTGAAGGGCACGGCGTCACGTCCTGCTGATGTGATTTCTTAGTGTGCCCGTGTGTCCACTTGCGGCTGGAGAGGGGCCTGCAAGTCACAGGCAGCAGCATCGCTTTTATTACACCACTAGAGGTACCGTGCACAAAAATGTGTGCACTCGGGAGGGGGGGGTGTCCCTCTGCCTGGCCTGTGTCCTCTCGCAGTCTGGGACCCCTCGGGGGATGGCCACCTGCTGGCTTAGGCCCACTCCCCAGGGGATGGGGCCTAAGCTGGCAGTCAGACATCCCTCTGGCAGCACAGGAGCCCCCGGGAGATGTACACATGCCAGCGGGGAGCAGGCCTAAGCTGCAGTCGGACATCCTTAGCGCTGCTGAGGAGGCAGGAGAGGCTCCCACCACCACCGCTGTGCTGGCAGCCATCAGCCTGGCTTGTGGTTAAGCAGAGCTCCCCCTGTGGGAGCCCACTGACCACCAGGGGGCAGCTCCTGCATTGAGCGTCTGCCCCCTGGTGTTCAGTGTGTGTCATAGTGACCAGTCATTTCCAGTCATTCTGCTGTTAGGGTCAATTTGCATATTACCCTTTTATTATATAGGATTTGGGAAGAGGTCAAAGGGCAATCTAGAAGAGAAGAATGGGTTGTCTGTTCAGGAAACTGGAGGTGGACACTACTCATTGGAGTTTTGTGGGGCCATTCGTGACGTCTCAAAATGGGGATCCCCTCCTCAGTGGGCCAGAGGAAGAATGCAAATGCTCCCATGCCCGCCGGCTCTGAACCCAGCGGCGTTGGGGTTCAGGCTTTGGTTGTAGGGCAGTGGTTTTCCGTGTGGCCTCCTGACCAGCGGTGTCAGCATCACAGAGCCTGTGGGCAGGGCCAGGCAGAGGCCGGGAGTGTGGCCAGAGAGAATCTCTGTAAGGAAGACACTGCTTCCTGCCCAGCCTGGGTGACAGCTCAGCTGCCTACGGGGCAAGGCAGGCCATGGAAACATGGTCAGGGGATGGGGCCAGAGGCCGACCGCAGAGCGCCAGCTACCGAGAAGGCTCAGCGGGTGTTCATTCCCAGCGGCCAGCAGGAGGACCTGGTGGCCACCACTGGTATTGCAGCCTTTCACATTAGCCAGGCCGCAGCCGCTGCCTTTGTCTGGGCTGGCCGGGCCTCCTGTGCAAGGAAGCAGGCACCGCACTGGTCCGTCCTTGTCAGCATCTTTATGTGAAATCTCACTACTTTTTTATATCTTTGCAACAGATTTTATTTTTTATTTTTATAAAACAGTTTTATTAATTTCAGAGAGGAAGGGAGAGGGAGAAAGAGAGAGAAACATCAATAATGAGAGAGAATCATTGATCAGCTGCCTCCTGCACACCCCACACTGGGGATCAAGCCCACAACTGGGGCATGTGCTGTGACCGGGAATCGAACCGTGACCTCCTGGTGCATAGGTCGATGCTCAACCACTGAGCCACGCCAGCTGGGTAACAAATTTTTAAAAATTAAACATAATTCCGGCCAAATCAAATGCATCCACAAGCCGTCTGAGGCTGTGGATGGTGAGTGTGTGGCCTCTGGGGAAGTTGCTGACATTTAGCCCACTCCCATCAGTTCTGGTTATTCCCACCGAGGCCCCTCTGGCTGGTCCAGCATTTTGACGATTCCTGCTAAGCAATAATGACTACAAAGGGTCGAGCCCAGTGTCTGGCTCACAGAAGGTGCTAGGAAAGGGTAAATGTAGCTGTTCTTGTGGGGAATGAAAAAGGTGGCAGTAGTCAGGATCCCTCGGCGGCTGTGCGCGGATTTCGCTGGCCAGTGCCTTCAGTTCCCTGCGTGGGCTCCAGCAGCGACTCTCACATACAGTGATGGACCGGGCTATGCACGGTGGGATGTCTACCTCCTCTCTCAGGGGAAGCGGGCACTGCCCGTCACCCTTAGACTGAATTAGAAACAATGATGACAATGCCGCCCACTCATTTGATGCCACCTGAGCGAGTGCCTTGCATGTCTGCATGCGGGCCTGGACCCCCTGTAAGGATTTCACGTCTCCCCTTCTCCACTCCTTCCCAGGGGCTCAGGGCGAGCGCCCGCGTGCCTCGTGGGAACTGAGCACCCACAGTCTGTTGGCGCTCCTGACTCACGCACACCACTAAGAAGAACGGGGCAGGGAAACCGTGGGCAATAGCAGGAGTGCGTTCCAACGCCGTGGAGGGTGCCGACAGTGCCGGCCATGGGAATCCTTTACGGGGGCTTTAAGGGGTTCCCCATGCCATCTCTGTGGTGGCAAAGAGCTGTCAGTGTTGCCTTTAGCCCTGGAATACACTGGCTTCGGAGGGTCGTTCAGGGCGCAGAGTGAGATGTGGCGCTCTGGGTTTAAGCCCCTGCCGAGGGCTCTCCGCGGCCCCAGAACCGCATCTCGGTTCCTGAGCGATGGCGTTGGGGGCTCCCGAGGTCCAGCTGTGCCCCTCCCCCAAGGGAAGCACATTGCTGAGCTTCTTGCTGCCTTTCCTTTCCTTTTGGCTTTGTCCACCCAGAGTCCCCGAGTGCCCAGCCTCTGCCAGCGCCCCCGGCCTGCCCCTTCCCCTCAGGGAGCGGGCAGAGGGCACCCTCTGGGAGGCCCTGTGGTCCGAGTGGGGACCCTGCCCCAGTGTCCCATCAAACTCCTGTGATTGCTGGTTCAGTATCACGTGTGCCTTTTTGGTGACAGTCCTCTCGTGGTCGAACGGTCGAACGGCAGCGCTTAGCATCCGGCTTAGACCACGGCAGGTAATTGGAATGCTTACTGAGTGAGCGCTCAGCTCTGGGAGCCGATCCTGCAGTGCGCTCTGCTGAGGGCTGGAGGGGGGCTGTGGGGGCCGGAGTACAGCACTGTGTTTTCCCATGCTCAGCAGGGTCTCCCATGTTAACGGCCGTCGGGCAGCCGCTGCCCCATTCATCCAGGGCTGCAGTGTGGGTCCTGGCAACGTGGGGTGCAGTGTGCACCGGGGTAGACTGGTGAGGGGCCTCAGGGTGCAGTGCGTGGACAGGCTGTGACTCCTGCCGTCTGTCATTGCCCAGGCGGTGCCACGGGTGCCATGAGGTAGCTTAGCAGAGCTTCGTAAACAGCACACATGGGCCCCTGGTGACTGATTAACACATGGATTCTCTGGGCCCAGCCCGATTCCGCATGGCTAACCAGGAGATGGGAGATTGATTTAGGAATGGAATCTCCCTGAATGCTCACAGAACAATGCCTCTCGGGAAGCTGGGGTTTAAGATAATTCTCATGGGACCTCTGCTGTTCACACAGATCGCACTCCCTCTGCCCCAGGCACTGCTTTCCCTGCTCCCAGTCTTCCCGCTTCCTTCTCACGGCCC